ATATACAGGGTGACTCAAAAAAATTAATGAATGCGTAAATATATTTTATTGATTTAATCAGGAACTACAAAACCGAATGCTCTGAAATCTTGCAGATGTTTTAAGGTCATAAAAAGCATAATAAATGTTTAGTCAAAATATATTTGCTTATCCCCTCCAAAAACTTGATGACGTCAGCTCGAAAGTTTGCCGAATAAATCATATCTAAATTGTACAAAATATGATGAGCCTGTACTTGTCATTTATCACTCCATTCATTTTTTTTGATTTGCATATACAGAGTGACTCAAAAAAATTAATGAATGCGTAAATATATTTTATTGATTTAATCAGGAACTACAAAACGGAATGCTCTGACATCTTGCAGATGTTTTAAGGTTATAAAGGGCATAATAAATGTTTAGTCAAAATATATTTGCTTATCCCCTCCAAAAACTTGATGACGTCAGCTCGAAAATTTGCCGAATAAATCATATCTAAAATGTACAAAATATGATCAGTCTGTACTTGTGATCTATCACTCCATTCATATTTTTTGGATTTGCATATACAGGGTGATTCAAGAAAATAAATGAAAGCGTAAATTTATTTTACTGATTTACTCAGGAACTACAAAACCGAATGCTTCGAAATCTTGAAGACATTTTAAAATTTTCATAAGCATGGTAAATTTTTGATCAAAACGTATTTGGTCGTCCCCCCTAAAAAATTTATGATGTCACCACAAAATTTTGCTGAAAAAATCCTATCTAAAATGTACAAAATATGGTGAGTCTCTTCTTGTGATTTATCATTCCATTCAAATTTTTTCGATTTGCATATACAGGGTGACTCAAAAAAATTAATGAATGCGTAAATTTATTTTATTGATTTAATCAGGAACTACAAAACCGAATGCTTTGAAATCTTGCAGATGTTTTAAGGTTATAAAGAGCATAATAAATTTTTAGTCAAAATATATTTGGTTATCTTCTACAAAAAACTGATGACGTCAGCTCAAAAGTTTGCCGAATAAATCGTATCTAAAATGTACAAAATATGATGAGTCTGTACTTGTGATTTATCATTCCATTCATATTTTTGGATTTGCATATGCAGGGTGACTCAAAAAAATTAATGAAGGCGTGAATTTATTTTATCGATTTAATCAGGAATTACAAAACCGAATGCTTTGAAATCTTGGGAATATTTTAAAGTTATTATAAGCATGGTAAACTTTTGTTCAAAATGTATTTGTTCAACCCTCCTAAAAAAATTGATGACGTCACCCTTAAATTTTGCTGAATAAATCCTATCTAAAATGCAAAAAATATGATGAGTTTGTACTTGTGATTTATCATTCCATTCATATTTTTTAGATTTTCTTAAGAGGTGGTTCAAAAAAATTAATGAAGTCAATTTATTTTATTGATTAAATTAAAGGCAACACTTATTATTAGTATTACACCCCAACCAACCCAATTTGGTAGACACAAAATTTGTTAAAGGAAAAACTCGGTTGAAACATAAGGGTAGCACGCTTATTTACATCGACTTTAACATTACAGACCTGCATTTGTTTTATGCGTTCACTTGATTCCGCGAATGTGAAATAGACATGTTTATAATCAACCAATTGTGAATTTCACCGTCAAGAATTAAAATAAAACCCAATGTTTTATATAATAAGCGGAAGTCGAAGCAATAAAACCGACGGTCGTTTTGTTTACAGTTTCTCTGTTTGGCTCTCATGTATGCTGTTACGCCTGTCATCTTAAATTAAGAATGTTTATACATACACGATTTTCAGTTGCCTCTGATACGTAGGTATACGTGAGTAAATTGTTTCGTTATTTTATTGATTATTACAAATCAATATTCAAACGACCCAATTCATTTTCTCGAAAATTTGAGAATATAATAATTTTATTCTTAGTATTACACTACATCTATCCCAACTGATATACGTGTCCTTGCAAAAATGTTGATGACGTCATCGCAATTTTTTTTTAAATTCCCACTACAAAAATGTAATGAGAAAAAAAAACACAATAGGCATGCAGTCGTCAAGTTTCCGACAGCGAGGGAAGTACTGTCTAAACTCTTTAGACCAATTTTTTTTAATTCATTTTAACCTATTTGTTGTCTAGTAAATGCATTCCTAATGTGTAATGGTATGATTGCAGGTTGCGGTCTAAAGTATAAAATAATTGACGACGTTTGCATTTATCTTTTGCTGGACTTTACAGGCCGCGCGTTTTATCTTGGCGAAAGCGGACGCATCCCAAAAAAGTATTCGGCTCTAATCATTGCATTGGGATCGCAGGAATTCCAGTGGCGTGGGTAATAAAAAAATGGTCTTTCTGTATAATTCTAAATTACACGTTTATGGACAAGAAATCTTCTCTGTGACGCTAGTGACTCATTTTGAACTTGGCGCCAATAAAATGTTGGTGTGCATCCAAAGCTCTCGCCAACATAAGCTGTATGCGTATGCTTCAGGTGAGTTTTCCGTTCATAAAAGTACATTATACATTGTGAAACGAAACCAGAAACGTCCAGATTTTTGGAAAAAATATCAAAATTATAAAACAACAGTTTGCAATTTAATTTTGAATCTGCAAAACCGAATACTTTGAAGTCTTGCAGACGTTTTAAAGTTATGATAAGCATGGTAAATGTTTAATCAAAATATATTTACTTATTTCCTCTAAAAAATTGATGACGTCACCTCAAAATTTTGCAGAATCAATTCTACCCAGAATGTGCAAAATATGATGAGTTTTTACTTGTGATTTGTCATTGCATTCATATTTTTTACATTTGGTTGTACAGGCGACTTAAGAAAAATTCATGAATGAGTCAGTATATTTTATTGATTAAATCAGGAACGACTCCATTTTCCCAGAAAATGTTTGGAATACAATACTATTTTTAGTATTCCACTGCACCTATGTTGATATAAATATCCTTGCAAAAAATGTTGATGACGTCATCACAAAATTGTGTTTAACTCGAAAATGCTGGATATGTTTCATTGTACTTCAGGAGCGAGGGAAGTTCTGTTGAAACAACTTTCCACACAAGATGATTTAATGATCCACTCGTATTTTCGTTTTAACCTATAATAATGGTTTGTATAACAAAAAATATCAATCACTTTTACAATTTTTCTAAAAAAATTGGACTTGTTTAAAATGTTTGCACTAATATTGTTGTAGGGAACATTAATCAAATTTTGTCTATTCTTCTTTCCAATAATGATAATGATGAATTGTTTTACTTATTGTCACTTTAAATTTTAGTTACAAAATTTATGCTGTATGCTGCATTAGTAGAAATAGTTTGTTAAATTACAAGTGCATGTTTACAGTTTGTTTTTCTTTAGCGTGTTTTAAGCTTATTTTTCTTTTGCAATTGTTGTAGATATGATGCAGTTTTAGTTATCGTTAAATGAAAATATAATCTGAATACAGTGTAAGTGTCGGAAGCTTTAATTATACAGGGTACTTTTGAAATAGATGGAAACTTTTTTTAAGGTAATTGGTCATGATGTAGAGAATTTATGCATCAAATATTGATCTAATAAAAATCCTTTAGTTTTCGAGATAAAATTGATTGAAAATCTGTTAAAATTTGCGTGTGCGCTACTGATTCCAAAAATATTAAAGGTAAATTTGATCACTATAGTAACTTAAAGTAGGTAAAATTGTTGCTTGTTAACATGACAATACATTCATTAGCCCATCATTTTTTGACGTTTTTGTAATTTTTTGGAAGAACAAAATGAATTTTTCTAATTCTGAAATGACTGACATGGTTCTGATGTATGGACAAGCCTTAGGAAACCCCTTGGAAGCTCGACGTTTATACCAAGAAGCATTTCCCGAACGAAGATTGCCAAATCATAAAACATTTGCTAACGTTGTTCAGCGTCTACGAGAAAATGGGAAATTTCAACCTTGTTTTAGTGATCGTGGTCGTGAAAGGACAGAACGGACACTTGATGCCGAAGAAGAAATTTTGAATGTCGTTGAAAACGATCCAGGTATAAGCATTAGACTTACCCACTCTTACCGAGTGGGAGTTTGACCTTTTGTGGTGTGGAGAACTCTACATGAACAAGGCCTACACTCCTATCATGTACAACGAGTTCAGCATTTGAAACCAGAAGATCTGCCACGTAGAGTTCGCTTTTGTGAATGGCTATGCCAAAAAAATAGAGAGGACCCACAACAGAATAACAAATATAGCTGCTGAAATTAGAGCACATCCCGAAATGATAACCAGAACTCAACAATCATTGATTAGACGTGCGGAAGCGTGTATACGAAATGGTGGTGGACATTTTGAAAACTTGCTCTAGTTGCATACGCTACGTTTTGTTTCATTTTATGGTTGATTAAATTATGATTTTGAAGTTTTAATTGTCAGTTCATTAATTATTGTCATTGTTTATTTGTTGCTAGCAATAAATTAATAGCAACAGTAGTTACACCTCGGCAGTTTTCAGTTACTAGGTTTCACATTTTTTCGTGAAACTATTATTTATCAGTGGAGGAATGAATGTTTGGATAGGGGTTAAATTTTCCTTTCAAAATTTTACTAAAACAACAAACGTTCATTTGACTTCTTAGGTTCCCTACATTCACCAGATTTTTTGTTTCCATGTATTTCAATAACACCCTGTATACATATGAGTTGAATTACAAAACGCTATTACATAATTGGATTCTGAATCGTTAAAATAATGCCAAGGAATTACGGTTTATTTAAATTTACTTCACATTTTAAGAATCAAGTAACTAAGATTATTTGTAAATGAATGCACTCCAAGAAATTACAGTCGATTAATCTTTGTCGTGAATATTTTCACAAACGAGGGATTAAATTGTGTTAAAGTATTTTGCTTATTAATTATAAGACTTATGTTACTAATTAGTTATCACACCACATTTGCTCTGTTTAAGTAGCACAATAATCGTTATTTATAGGCGCATATACAGAGTTTCGAACGAAAATAATTTCATAGTAAAACAGCTATCGATAATGGTTTTCGTTCAGTACTCCGAAAGCGGCTAGTGAGAAAGCATGAAAGAAACTGCTATCGATCCGAATCGAAATAATGACAGACGAACTGTTACCAATGTGCAAAATTACTTTAAAGAATATTGCAATTCTACAAGTATCCATGGCTTTAGATATTTCGGGGAAAATCGGTCTACTTTCGAAAAGTAAGCAAAATTGGAAATGTTTGTTTTAATAATCATGGTTATACATAATTTACAGAGTGTGGTGGATAGTTATTTTTATTCTTTGTTTATCTGGTTGTTCTTTTATGATTTATAAAATTTACGAAAAATACGAGACTAGCCCTGTTATTGTAACTTTTGCCACGAAAGAAACGCCAATTCACCAGATACCATTTCCAGCAGTGACCATTTGTCCGGAAATAAAATTCAAAAAAGAAAAATTTAACTTGACTGATGTAGTTAAGAAAAAAAAGGAAGAACAAAATATAACTGTCTCGGAGTAGGTAGAAATTCATTTTTCCATCACATACAACACAATGTGGTTTATATTTTCAGGGAACAAATATTTCAATATGCGTCGTTATTATGTAAACAAAGTTTACAAGCCTTTGTTAATGAAACTGCGGGCCAAACTCTTGGCAATGATTTCTTTACCACATTGGATGAGGTATTAATATTAACCTTAATCCTAAACATTCGGAAATTTTTGGATATAATTTTAGATAAAACCCGAGTTTATTAAATCTGTGATCTACTGTAAGTTTCTAGGACAAGATTATAGCGAAGATTGTTCAGAACTGTTAACACCGGTGTTTACCGATGAAGGAGTTTGCTATTCTTTCAATATCTTGGATCGTAGCCACATTTTTAATGATTTGGTGTAAGTTTAGGTTGCATTATTTTTAAACTAATGTAAACATTTAACAGCTACCACTATAAAGATTACCACAATGTAAAAGAAGACACTCGTTCGTGGAATATGGAATTTGGATACGCTCAAGATGCTAAAGGGGACGCCTATCCAAAAAGAGCCTTATTTTCTGGAGCTAACAATGGATTAACTTTATATATGGGTGTTGAAAATATAGACTTTGATTACATGTGTAACAGTATCCAAGGTTTTAAGGTAACTACATTTTTCAAAAATTATATCATGGATTGATATTTAACTTTTAGGTTGTGTTACACTCTCCCGTGCGAATACCAAAACTAAAACAAGAATATTTTCGCGTGCCCTTGAATCAGGAAGTGGTAGCAGCTGTTCATCCGATCATGATAATGACGTCTCCGGCAGTACAAGGATTCAATGTCGAGAAGCGTGAATGTTATTTTCCGTCGGAAAAGAAACTGAAATATTTTAGATCCTATTCTCAACAGAATTGCTTTCTCGAATGTCTCACAAATGTCACTTTGAACTTTTGTGACTGTGTAAATTTTTACATGCCAAGTTTGTTGATCAGATTTTCGCGGCGCTTGCTAATTTTGGCTGTTTTAGAGGAAAATGCTACAAAAATATGTGGAAAAGAATCTTCTACGTGTGTTAAGGTAGCCGAAACAATTTTGCAGTTAGGGGAAGAATACAGCAAATTCTATCAGCCAAAGTCTGATAATGAATTTGAAACTTGCGATTGTTTGCCCATTTGTACAGATTTAAGCTATGATGTGCAAACATCTCAAACTAATTGGGACTGGAAAGAAAGTTTTGCTATGGTACCGGGTATGGAGCATTTTAACAAAGAAAAGTTTGATAACGAGTACTTGTGGTTTACACTTTAACTAATTGCATTCTTGCAGGGTCCATTTATCGAGCTTAACAGTGTATTTTCGATTTAATCATTTCATCACCTCGGAGAGGCAAGAACTGTATGGTCCCACTGATTTCGTGGCTAATTTTGGAGGCCTGTTAGGTTTATTCACTGGTTTTTCAATTTTGTCTTTAATGGAGATTATCTATTTCTTGACACTGAGAATATGTTGTAATATTCGGTTGTATGGGCAGTGGGCAGGAGTACAATAGTGTACCTGTTCTCCTAGTTTTTTTTGTGAAAATATATTTATTACTTGAAGTTGGTAAACATCCAATTTTTTTTCATCGACTGCCAAGATATTTAAGTCAATGCTGATAGAAAATTTTGCAACAAATTTGTAGCTGTTGAATGTTGGGTTAAAATGATGTTTAGCAGAACAGACATTCGGCGATAACTTGAATGCATAAATTAAATATTCATAGATTTCTTTAAGACAAGCAGGTGTTGTTCTACATGCCTAACATATTATAAAGTGTCAACAGAACTTATGTGTTTTTTTTACATAAATAGTTTAGAATTGAATGATTTATACTGCGTAAAAATTCTTGGAATTTTCTTCTGAAGATAAGACGAAAGAGTACTTATAACTGAATTTATTGCTCCTAAAGGTCTATTTTTGTAATGAAATAACAGCAATTTTTTTAAATGGTCGCTTGTTTATTTTTCTGTTTTGTGTTTCTCATGTTATGTCGCGCTTATTATAAATGTGATTATTTATCTTTAAATATAAAAATTGGAAAATTTATTATTCACTATTTATTCACTATTCACTTTTGATATTTAAACGAAATAAGACATATTGTTATATTTTAATTTTTTAAAATAGGGAGTGTCTTAAGTATGACAAGAACATATTGCAAATTCGCAAATAAAAAACTCAAAATGAAAGGTTTTTTTTGTTAATAAAATGAGCAGTTTACAATAAATTCAAGTATCACAGTTGGATATTAAAAAAATGTATTATATTTTATAATAAACGGTTACGTTACATTATATCCATTTTTCTATTGTTTGCAATTTTGGGATAAAATGCGATACACAATGATTAAAAAATCATAATGCTACGAGAGCTTACCTACATCAAATTATAAATTTGAAATGGTCTAATTTAATATAATTAATATTAATTATATTATTTATTTACATTTACAGTGCATCTTTTTTAAAAGGGGTCATAGAAATTCCCATGTTAAATTTTAAGCCTCATGTTAATTTTTGTTAGGGTTAAACCAATACATGATTTTTGCAGGGGATACAGCGTTAAGGTTCTACTTTAATTCTCGCTACACCTTTTGCAGTAAATTGTTAATTTTTGTTTTAGAAAGTAAACATTGTTTTGGTTAAAAAGTTTATAGGTAGGTATGTACATTGCAGAAGGTACTGAATTATCATTTTGACTTGTCATTTTTGACAGCGTAGTTTTAATTTAATCACCAAACACCTTTATTGCAGTTTTTGAAAAGGAACAGAATGATGGAATTTAAACATAAATGAAGAAAATAAAAGAAAATTTCACTGAAACTGTGTTTTTCATGTTCATAATCAAGACAATCTATAAATCTGGCAAAAAATTTTTGAATTGTGCTCTTGCCGAGTATGGGACGATGTGGAAATGCTGCACCAAAATTTTGGGCGATTTCTCTTTAATGCATCAAGTGACTATTTCCACTGTTTCTTCAATTGTGTAAAGTCGTGGAATTACCCCAAGTCAAACTTTTTCTCTTTCCATCTTATGCACTTTGTGTGAGACAAAAAAATCACCAAATTGAGTAGGTCGTAAAGTCTTATGTCAAATTTTAAAATTTGTCATTTGTCCCAGTTAAAAATGAAGCGATTTAACGACCAAGCAAAACAAATAATTATTAAATGTGTTGGACTATCTTGATAGAAACCAAGATGTTTTGGAATTTAAGAAAAAAAGGAAGACAGAACTGGCCGCAGAAATGTTGAAAATTTCGGAAAGATCTGTCTACAGGCTACAAAAAAATATATCTTCTAGAATTAGTAACATAAAGACAAAAGTGTAGATTTAATGTCAGTCCGGGAGATTATCTATAAAATGGGTGTTTCTAAAGAATACATTACGATTAAGTTGCTGCATCATTGAGTAATGGAAGAGATTCCCGATTTTAACGTTGGTCCTAGATCGTTAACCAACTGGATAAGGAAAATTGGTTTCAAATTTAAGAAAAATGGTAACAGATTATTTTTTATATAACGGAATCAGTTAAATTAAAAAGAAAAAAGTTGGCAAGACGGTTCATTTAACACTGCTATTGCAAAAACTGGAGAAGGGTGCAGATACATTGTGGTTCACGCTGGAAATATAAACAGTTTTATTGAAGCAGCTTCCGTTTTTTCGTTTTTTAATAAAGTTCAATTAATTAAGTAATTAAATGGTCCTGTTTATAAAAAAGAACAGCCAAAATTTACCATTTTTTTAGTTGATGGGTTTAACATAATAGCAGAGAATATAATTGTTTTTGATGGTGTATTCTATTGATCCAAAATAGAGTTGTTGTATGAAATATAACAATTGGAAACAGAGGACGTACGTTACTAATTAATGAGTCTTCCAACTTAAAAATTCAATTTGCAAAAAATTTCTGTTATTGACTTTCCTTTTTTAGTACCTGTACCTTTCAATAATTGCGAATTTGAAATTTAAATTTATCCATAGCAACATGCTGGTAATATATACGAAATCACATACGAAAAGTTACTAAAAAATATCACATGTTTTTGACTAGGGGTATTTCCACAGCTACATTGAGGCATGTTGACGAATTTAGGTCAATAAAAATCAGTAATCGAACGAGTAATCCAATGGAGACTCGTGATCTTTTGAAATGGGGACACAATTTGAGTGATGAGTTAAATATGAAGATATAAAGCAGACTATTATTACTAATTAATAGATGAAATTGTGTGACTGGAATAGATACAAAACTATTTACTTTTTTGCCTTTTGTCAAGATTTTACATTGAAAATGAAAATGAACTTCCGTACTTGAAACATCAGTCACAATTCAAACGCGACCCGATTCCAGCCAAATACAGCGACTAGAGGCGCGGTTTCCATGGCAACGGTGTAAACAAAACGTCTAAATGAACCATGATTGAGTCTCGGTCTCCGCTTACAACATCTTTATTTGTAAGTTTTGATACATTTGATACCAATGGACCGAGATAAAGAAATTAGATTTGATAGTTATGATTTATGACACAAACTTTCGGATTTTTTTTTAAATATGGAAAATTACTCTTTTGCTATGTCAAGTGTATATGTGGACGTTGTAATTTTGAGGGGGCATGTGCCTTTGTGCCCCCCGGCATCAGTCGCCCCTGAAGTACCCAAATTTTCGGAACGTCAGGTAAATGTATGTTTTACAGGGCTGCCTAAAATATTAGCGAGAAAAATACACCAATAACTTGTTTTTTAAAAAGAAATATCCTTTAAGTTAACATAGGAGAGGTAGGTATAGAATTTAATATGGGAATCCATATGGCTACTTTTAAAAAAGATACACTGTATATATCCCCGGGGAGGGGTTTTTTATTTTGTTAATTTCATTTCCTAAAAGTAGTTTTTGTGTATTTTGTATTGTATGTATATATAATTTTTTTGTTAGTATACCTACTTGTGAAGAACCACTGGAAGTCTGTTAAATAAAAAAAGACACACATTTTAAAGAATGTTTATTCAGTAGTCTGAGTCATGGCGTAAAGCATTAGACGATAACGTATTTTAGGATTATAAATAGTAAATACTGAGCGTCACGGAAATTTGAAGAATTTTCCTACAACGAATGTTAATAGTTTTTCTCATAGAGCGCAGCACAAATATGTTTTTCAGCATTTTGTTACAAGGGTTCGACTTCGTAATAATTTGTCGTGTTGACTTTTCAGGACAATCACTAAAACAATACTCATTTATATAAACAATAGTTATTTTTCGGATACTTAGTGGAAATGGGCTAGAATTATTTATAGTTAGTAACTCATAAGGAAATGATCTACTTTTCTTCATAGCAACATTTTTCTTTATAGCAACGAGATTATTCATTGAGATAAGTATTAAAATTGTTGGTATAAACATTACAAATTGTGACACTTGAAGACTCACTAAATGATAATCATTTTGAAGAAATTGATTTATCAATATACAACTGACATTGAATATGTCTATATTTTCACTACTTCTAAGTTCCTTTTAACATTACACGCATACGCGAGAGTTTATGTAATCTTTTCAGCCTGGAACCACATGCATTAAGTCCTGAGAATGTATTAGGAAGAAACTTACTTTTTCATGAAAATAGACATGCTTCTTTGTATTTGCCCTGTGATTTTGATGGCAACGAGGCAGTAGCGTCGACAGCTCTGCCATAATATCGGGATTACGCTCATTTCTGCTCATTTTTGCAAATTTTTGTTCACGCAATGACATTCTGCAACAATTTGTTTAGACAGCTATTGTTTTATTGTTGTGGGAGTTTATATCCACCTACTAAATTGTGGTAGTCATTCCTTTTTGACGACTTTATTTTTCACATATGTTTAAAGAAAATTGGAGTATTAGAAAAAATTACATGTATTACATGTAAATTGAGAATGCATTATCAACCATAAGTGCTCATTCACAATGAGCATAAAGCATAAGGATGTCCTAAGCATTAATGCATAAAAATTTATGTTTAGTGCTCTATGCTTGTATTCGTTCACAATGAGCATAAAGCAAAAGCCTTAAGCAGTATGCTCATTGTGAACGAATACAAGCATAGAGCACTAAACATAAATTTTTATGCATTAATGCTTAGGACATCCTTATGCTTTATGCCCATTGTGAATGAGCACTAAGTATAAAGCAATAATATTTTGCATATTTTAGATAGGATTTTTGGGAATGGTTAAATAGATCAATTCTGTTGAGCGATTTACTAGGATTACAGCAACATTAAAACGTTTTCAAGATTTCAGAGCATTCAGTTTTGCAGCTTTAAAGTTAAACTGCAAAATTTTGTTACAAAACTTTGATTTTTTTCCCCAAAAATCTGATGTCGAGGGTAATAGCTCAACACGGATTCATAAACGACGAGTGCAGGAGTATGTTATTTTGTAAATTTTAAATAATGGGAATATTTACCATTCTGTAAGCAGAATTTTTAGCCCAGGTCTTAAAGGTGACAAATCCAATAAGTTTTAATAATTAACCCCCACTTAAGACACATATCTCAGACGCCGGGAGTGCATTTTGAAGGCAGTCACTCGAGTGAGTGAAAAATAGACGGGCGTGAACTGGGCATTTCATCGTGTGCTTTTCACTCACTCTGACTGACTGACTGTACTGTGATGATCTGACAGAGCCGGATTTGGGTTGAGTGAAAGGTGTTGATAAGAGGAAGATGACAGTTTAGGGTGAACTCTTGCAGACGGTATGTACCTGGACACTGAGGGCGAACTCAGGTGGCCCATGACACAGCAGGTTAAAGGCTAAAGGCTAAAGCCGTGAAACGGTGTCCTGGCTGTTGACTGGCCGGCACTAAAAATTCCGCTTACAGAATGGTAAATATTCCTATTATTTAATGCAATAAAGAATACATTTACTGGTTATGTTAGGAGATTAACTGGGTTTCTGGAGGAACGTGACGTATGGATATAGAGGTGTCTTCTCCAGTTTGGCCGTAACAGTGCTCCTTCTGAGGGGGCTGTGGGCAGCCAGTACATCCCAAAGCTAGGGTGGTTTCAGATAACTCTACAACGTCATCAGCACAAGGAGTGAGCTAGGGGGTGGATACCCCCCGGTGATTGATCATTAGAGACAGATAAATCAGGTGTGTCTGTTATCATATTCATGACTGGGACCAAATTGGCGGAGTAAGTGAATCTATAGATTGCAATTGGCTGTGGCCGTTTGACCGTCACTGATTGTAGTGTCTCTACTACTTCTTTAAAACACTTCATTAATCAACTACCAATAACATTACATTTGAGGGTGAATAACTATTTCTCTTACATTGTATTTTACTTCCTACCGACGCTAACGTAATGCACAAGAGACCAACCAAAATGCTGCCAACTGTTGGCGCTAAGTAACTAATACATTACACTGATAATGAATAGTTGATAAGTTACGCTAAAGTCGCTATCTAGCCAAAAATTGTCTTATAATTGTAAATTTTTGAGATGACGTCATCTCATGGTTGATGAATATAATCAGACACATTTTGATTGGAGTTTTACCATCGTCACGATATTCTTAACATCATGTCAGGAAAGTAATAAACGCTGTAGCGATTGCGTACGGTCTTTATAATTTATCTCATATATGCTACACTGTATTGGTACAAAAATTATATGTACCTACACACCATGGAGGTAGAATGAAGGAAGGGAAGATAGTTAGAAAACATGTCATAAATGGTTCTTCCAGCTCCTCCAAGAAAGTGCTTGTTCCAATGCCGTGTTCGAAGGTTTTCGCCTGGTGCGGGGCATAAGATGCTAAAATAATTGAATAAGACAGAATATAAAAGCAGCAGCCGTAAAATTTACTTGGGTTTCTATGTTTCAATAAATACATATTTTTGTTTTTATTCCATAATAATTAACCAAATAGTAAAGCGTTTTCACTAGCTATGAACCTATTTTAGAACAAACGGGGCCAGGCTCTACGTATTGTTGAACGACCGCTTCTGATGTAGTACGGAGCTCTTTTGCCCACAAATCTTTAACATTAGTGTAATGAGGCATGCTCCCTCCTGTCGTTCTACCTTAATGGTATGCATACTAAATTCGTTCGATTTGTAGACTAGTAAAATTTTATGGCAGATAATGACGGGGACGAGTGTCGGTATATATACGTGAACAAACGAAGAAAGATTTACAGCCGAAAAAGACTCGTGTTGCCCGGCACTGACACAAGTGACACAATTTATGGTTGCGGTTCGGTTTTTTTGATGGATTGGTGGAATAATATTTTACTAGGGTATAGCTCAAACGAGTTTGCTATTCGCAGAAACAGGAAATAGTGACACAGGCAACAAGTGGCAAATTCAGGAGTGTGATTTTCGGTTGTACCAAGAAGCTCGCTTTCATACGTAGTCGTAGGATCTCTCCCAGTCCTTGGTTGATTACCGAATGATTGCGGTACTACGGCTAAGGAGCCTGGAGAGTACTAAGTCGAGAATTGACAAAGTGGTCCGTTTGACTGCCTCTTCTATCACTCTCGAATTATGTTATGCAGGGCTGGGTACGGAGTAATAAATCATGTAATAAAAAAAGGTTTTGTATTGTTTATTCACAGTGGTTCTACCATCTTCTCCAACTTACTTATGGAGTAAACATCTAACTATTAACAACTTTAAATGATTGCAGAAACACTTTTTGATCTCTAGCATTTGAAACTCAAGTTATCAAAAATTTTCTTTTTAAAATTATTAAAGTTCGAGTTGTCTCCATCAATATTACTGTATATTTTGAATCATTTATTGCAATTCAATTAGGTTGCAAATAGTTTTTGAAAAATTAATTTGATATTATGTGTATTAAAATTATAGTACCTAATACAGTTTCCATATTCTTCAATTTAATCAAAGTCGATAGCAATTTGGATCGAAAATTGGTTAACGGTTCGGTAAATTTGATGTTTAATGATTGAAAAAATTTGCATACACGATGATGTTATCTTAACCAATTACCCAATTGATTGGCCCTAATATCTCTCTGAAGATTATCATTATAGTCAGTGACGTCATTTAGGTCACAGAAGTATGTCATTTGCATTGTACAGGCATCTGTATAATGCATTGAGTAAAAATAAGTTAAGATATTATGGTAGTTTAGAAAAAGTGTCCATAAAAAACCTGTGTATAAAATTAACACAATCAGTAAGTAAGAATTTTTAAAAGTTTGCACACTTAACATGTTTCATAGAGATCAATCTTGCACTCGAGTTTAGGTACTGTTGAAGACGTGAAGTGGGATTTATCTTCAAAGAAAAAGCGATTCACTCAAGAACTTTCAAGCTTGATGATAGACGGGGGTTTACATACCTGAAAATGATTAATAAAGGAAACATGTTTTAAGAAACTTTTTCAATATAGCTCAGTAATTTGAAACTTACTTTCGTTTCGCACTTTACCTGCGCTTAATTGATTCTACGTTAATACCATATGATCGAAGAAAACTCGTCTAGTAAGCTGTGCAATTTATTTTTAAAATAATGATGTTGGCAACACCAACGCTTTCCTCGTTCAGTTTGACCGTTACGGTCAAATAACTGTCAAATAAAGGATCAAATAGCTGCAATGCCAACATCATTATTTTAAAAATAAATTGCACGACCTACTAGATGAGTTTTTTTCCTCTTTAACTCAGTCTTTATCGCTTAGGCTCTGCAGTTCAACTGAGTGATTTATTTTAAATTTGTCTATAGATCCGCGAAAGATAGCTATTAGAAAAAGGCTGCGAAGAAAATAAAAATAAAGAAAAACTATCTCTTATTATGTAGAAAATCGCTATACTTTTAATTCTTGCCATAAGTGGCAAGTGCATAACATTTACATAATAGTGTTTTGTATTTACAATGATCGCTTTAGTTTACTAACCGATGTAGCCGAAAGCATTTCAAAAAGCTGTTTTAATGATGTCTACAACCTTGGTGCTTAAAAAAAGTAGCGAAGTGTCGGGCTTGATTTATTGTGATTTTAAAAAAGTATCAATGAAAATGGGAAAAGATAGAAAAAACACTTGACGCCAGGCATATAAACGCTGCTGGAACTGAGCCAAATGTGATTTATCATATACCAGTAGATTTGTATACATTGTCTAACTTGTATTTATTATTTTTGTAAATTTAATGAAAAATGTGTTTGCGTCAAAGCATGTCTGTTCAGTCCGGAAGAGAAATATTTTATTCGAAAATTTTTGTTTATTTTTCTACAGTAACAGGTAGTTGTTTTAACGTTCTGGTAACTTTCCAAAGGGAATTTAGCTTGACTAATTAGTCAAGTAAATATAAAGACATAAACACCTTAATTAATGTGTTCTTTATGTTTACTAGTCGAAAAAATAATCACGTTTTGTCATAAGGCATATTATCGTCTTACTTGACTCGGTTTGAAAGATTTTTTAACGAGCGCATGTTTTGTGAAGTTTTCTTAACAGCAAATAATTACATTTTGTAAAACCATAATAAACGTAATAAACAGTCATCTTAAAGTCTGCCTAAGAAGTACTATTTTCAACCCAAACAATAAACAATTAAATCCGGAACGGCTAAGTGAACTAAAATAAGCTTTCTTCAGTATAAAAGTTTTCAATAAAAGTTTTTTATGTTCAGTTCGTTAGAAACCACGAATCAAGTTTGGTGCAATGAGTTTCGATAAAAACGCCAGAAAAGCGAATACTTGTACAGATATTCGCAATTATTTTAAGGAATACTGTGATGCGACCAGTATACACGGTTTTAAATATTTTGGTGAGAATCGTTCTCTGTGTGAAAGGTAAAAAGATATTTTTTTTAAATTGAATGTGTTTTGGTAATACATTACAAAATAGGTTGTGGTGGTCCATGATCTTCATTATCTGCCTTTCTGGTTGCTGCTTTGTGATATTCACAATATACGAAAAATACGAAAAGAGTCCAGTGATCGTGACCTTTGCGACTAAAGAAACTCCAATTTATAAAATTCCATTTCCAACAGTTACCATTTGTCCGGAAATTAAATCGACAAAAGCTAAATTTTATTATGGTCGAGCAGTGAAAGAGAAAAATGATGGTAAATCGACTTTTGAAGAGTAAGAACTGTTATTTTTGTAAAAATTAGTTTAAACTTTTCGATGAATTTCAGTGATCAAAAAATAGATTACCTGTCGGTGTTGTGTGACAGCTATAATCGAGTGCCACATTTACAGAATGAGTCTTTCACTGAGGATTTTTTTAATACTTTACACGAGGTCAGTTTAAATTCGCGTCTTTTTTTTAGTTAGTAAATCATTATATTTTCAGATTAAACCGGATATTTTGAATCAGATTTACGGCTGCGTGTTCATGGGAAAAGAACTCAAATGCAAAGATATTTTTATTCCTGTAATGACAGACGAAGGAATATGCTACTCTTTTAATATTTTGGATCGTAGCCAAATTTTTGATGATTTAGTGTAAGTATAAATTTCAGCAAACATTTCTTGGGTCAAGGTTGGTAATATATTATATATTTTTGGTCTAAGTGTGATAAACTTTTTAATTAATTTTGTTCCGCATGTCGGTAGTTATCTGTTGATAAGCATTATCAAAATTAAATTACTTCCTGAATCGACTGGATAGTGTAGGTGCAGACGATGTGATCTTGCACTTATTACAAATTTTTGTTTAGTGTTATCGCATGCAAAAGTAACCAACAAAATTAACGTTCAAATTAGCTCTTGGTGATTTTTGAATCCTTTTTTTGTTCTTCTACAAATTTCCTGTACTTCTTTTAAATCTTTTTTAAAGAGGGTGTAACGTCAAAATATTATATTATTATTAACAACAAATTTACGATCAGCAAAACCGTAAAAATAAGTAAGGTGTCTTTTAGTCAGTCTGATGGCAGTTTATTAGATCGGGAATCTCTGACATTAGGGAATGCATTAACTATTTTAACACTTTTGATGTACTTTATGATTAGATAATCATAAACCTAGGCTGTAAAAAACCGGTCCTCAAATTTTGTGTTTTAAAAATTTGTCCATATTTGCAACCTTTCGTAATATTTACATTATGGGAATATCTCGTTCCTGTAACGGTATGAAGCAATTTTATGGTCCAATTAAATTATTTTCTCAGTTGTTTTGATTATAAATTGGTGTTCCGTTTATTAATAGATTTGATTTAAAAGTCTTATTTGTTACATTGTCCATTAATGTTAATACTTTAATAATAAATTTTCGTTATTTAAATTGCTCAAGAAATTTTTTAACATCCAAGGATTATGGTAAAATAGTATATTATGTAACACATTTTTATAAACGCCTCTTTAGTCACGAGTTTATTTAGTCATGAGCGGAACGAGTCTTTAAAATTCGACTGTCTAGCGAAGTAACTTTGCTGTCTCTACGACTTAAAATAAAACCATAATTAACGAAATTCTGAAATTATTACTGTACAAAAACTAAATCATTAACATCACAACATTTTTGTTGAACTATTACATCAGCTTAACATACAGACTGCAAAGTTTTTTCTACTCCCGTGTTTAAAATGTTACTTTCAGGTGATACCTTGACGGCGATAACTTAGATTTTAAATAGGGACACGAGCAGTGACTAAGCCACGGGCTGAAGTTAGCCCCGCTTTTTTAGTCACGGTCTGAAGTTGCTTCTTGTCAAATTGACAGTAGAACGAAATTTTTATTTATTAAGTAAAAAATGCATTTAAAATGTTTGGTAACAATTAACATTCATAATATGCATATTTATAAATTTACAAAATAATTTCATTTAACGTTATAATTTAGTAAGACGCTTTAGTTTTGAGAATTGCTTATGAAGGATGTTCTAAAAATTGAAAGTATAAACCGTTTTCTATATTTAATTTTCTAAACAGTAAATCTAATGTCTTCCGTTATTTCAAAGCTTGCTCGTTTAATTTTTCTGAAGTTCTTAGAATAGCATAAGTTGGTAGGATTAAATAACACAACAATAACAAATTGATATCGTTTTCATAATAAAAAATATAAATAACTCCGTTGTACACGTGTGTGTAAAAATTCGAACAAGTATGAACAACTTTAGAGCTTTATTTTTGTATAAAATCTTTGTTTTTTTTTTTTTTTGTTTTAGTGGCACCTTCTCCAATGCGCTTATTGAACTTGGTGCTTTTGGATATTTAGTAATTATACACTTATTTCGTCAATATTGACAAAAATAATGTAGGTGTCATTTAAAAATTGCAGTGTTTGTGACAAAAATGGTAATGAAACCCAGTGAATTAGGACCGACACATTTCTTTCTTATATCTTATTAACGTTAGTTAGTTTGCTTTATAAGAATTCGATTGCTAAACAACCATTGAAATATGCTGTACTGATGAGATCTAAGGATGTACCCAAACTGCAGTCTACAGATATTCATTGTGTTGTCTAAAAGTTTATAAAATAGGTGGTTGATTGTGAATAAACTATATTTCATAAAATTCTAATAAAAAATTTGCAGAGCGAAATTTGAGGTTATCTCTATCTGATATATTAAATAACTAGACAAGAATTTTTTACAAATGACGGAAACACTCTTTGTAATTAAAATCCTATCGAAATATGTTACGTACACTCAATATGTTGGTATTCTCAAACAAAAAAGATTTCAATCTATATAAGGACTAATTGTTTTGTTATTTCTACTGTAAATCTCACTATCAATCTTCTTTTCTACGACGAGTAAGAAAGAGGACTGAAAGGATAGAATCAACACCTAGGTACATTGAATAGTCTATTTCTCTTCTTTTAAAACAATCTAGACTGTTCGGTTAAAAGTTTTAAAAATTTACACTTATTAGCTGTGTGTTGATTTAAAAAAAAAAAATAATGATCATTTGGTCCCGTTTAAAGTGAGTTAGTGCTTTAAACCTTCTGAACATGCTCTCTATGCTGCAGATGACTGATCTTCTAGTTTATTCAGTATTATCAGTATATTTTTAATTATGATAGTTAATTTTGTAACTGGAGTCTGCTTTATCTTGCGTACTGTCAAAAAACTTAAGACACGCGGAAGTGAAGCGTAAAAGTGTTGCATTTATAGCTAGAACGAAATTTATAATTTACTTATTTTCAGTTTAAAACCAGATGCCACCTTTTTCGTTCAAGATTACATGAAAATAACATTTCTTTGGCAAAACATACAATTTAATGCATGTTATGTTATGGTTTAATGCACCTGGTGCTATTGTGATAACCACAATTAATATTTCAACAAATATAAAACTACAGTCTACGTTAATTTTAATATATTTTTTATCATAACACAGAACAATCTGGTTTTTAAAATATGCATCCCTTTAGTACTCACAATGTACTTAAAAGTTAGTAGATTTAACAATAAATGGTGATTAACTACATAGCGAATATTAAAATTATGTCTTCCATTATTGTTGAGACACTCTTACGTATTCTTTTAGTTATCACTTTAACGGGTATCACAAGACAGGAGAGAATTCCTCAACGTGGAGTATTGATAAAGGATATTTGAACGAATCTAAAATTGACATTTATCCAAGGAGAGCTTTACTTGCTGGAGCTGCGAATGGGTTAACAATGCAATTAGCGACCCCTAAAAATGATATAGATCATACCTGCAAAGGAATACAGGGTTACAGGGTATGTATGCTTTTGTAATTTAGGATGTTCATGTGAGTACTACTTACATTATAGTCGTTTTTTTTCTTGAGATTTGTTGCTGAAAATTTTAGTAAAAGTGCCTGTTTCTACAGCCAGATATATATATTTGCATTTCGTATTTCGTTTCTGAAATTTTATGAAAAGCCCCCGCTTAGAATTTTAATTTCCGCCAGTTTTTGTGACAAATTATAAATTCTCTGGTCTTACTAGACCCGTGTCTATTTGGTTCATATATTTGATTTTGGTTTTGTTTATTGCCATAACTTTCCGTTTTGAAATCACCATGTGTGTTGTAACCACATATATATTTTTATCTTTGTTTCTCTAGGAGCTTTTCTCGCACCAGACTAAACATAACTTGACTCTCGGTTTTATTTAAAGTTAAGTTTATACGCCTCGACTCTGAAAATTCTTGTTTATTTCCAGCTTTCTTCATGCTTGGTACAACTCTCCTTCTTTCATGTTTACATAAGCTTACTCGGGCGATGTACTTTTCTTTTTTGAGACGGCAAAATTTTCCTCTTGGAAAATTTACTTTCACCTCTCAACCTCTACTAAATCTATACCGGTGTTCACCTGCTAATTTGAAAATTGTCCTGTAATTTGTTTTTCACAAGAACTTCAAAAAATTATAACAAAAAAATTTTTTCCGAGTTTGGAGCATGTCAGATATCAAAAAGGTTTCGACATTTCTCAAGAAATTTACAACTGTCGAACAGGATTTGATGACTTGGTGATGTTTTGCTATAGCAGACGACGAGGAGAAACTACATCGAATGCAACAATGGCTTTCGAGCATTCTAGTTTCTTCTTTTCTCGATTTTACGTTTTTACTTCATTTGTGTCACTATTCCCTTTACTTCTATATTTTCTTTCTTTAGTTACTATATGATTTTCAGTTTAACAAATTATAACACTATGTCACACCATGCCATTTCTCTAATTGCAGGTGGTTTTGCACACACCTATGCGAATGCCGAGATTGAAACAGGAGTATTTTCGAGTACCATTGGATGAAGCCGTGGTTACAGCAGTTAAACCAATCATGATTAGTACGTCTGAGGCTGTAAAAAAATACGACATAAAGAAACGAGATTGTTGCTTTCCTTTCGAAAGAAAATTAATGTTTTTTAAAACTTACAGCCAGTTAAATTGCCAACTGGAGTGCTTAACTAATTTTACTCTAGCCACATGTGGATGTGTGAATTTTTTTATGCCACGTAAGTAAAATACATTTTAATGTCGAATGACACTTTACATAAAGAGTGAATTTCAGGACATAACAATACTAAAATTTGTGGAACTGGAAAATATGAATGCATGAAATTAGCTGAGAGTATTCTTTACACTGAAGAGGTTTACGAAAAATTTCTGGATCGTCCTAAAAAATTAATGCGTGAGACCACCGTAGACTGTAACTGTATGCCGCTTTGTACAGATTTAAGTTATAACACAGAAACATCACAGACAAGTTGGACTTGGAAAGAAGACGCCTTTTCGAGGAGCAAACAAAATTTAGACAAACAAAAGTAATAACATTTTTCTTTATCTGTTAAATATACAGTTTTTTTCTTTTTAGAATGCACTTGTCAAGTTTGACGATTTACTTCAAATTTAACCACTTTATTACATCAGAACGAAATGAACTCTATGGACCAACAGATTTCTTAGCCAATTTTGGAGGACTGTTGGGGCTATTTACCGGTTTTTCTCTTTTGTCTTTAATGGAAATTATTTATTTTTTAACACTCAGGATTTGTTGTAATATGAAAATGTACGGGAAATGGACGGGGCTAGCCAAGCAATAAAATAATGAAATAAACGAGACTCTAATTGTTGAACAGACGTTAAATCGTACAAGTTATCATCATCTCCCAACTTAATTATTCACCACGTAATAACGTGACAAAGTTATGTGAGATTGCAGTTCGCTTTACGATCAGCAAAATGTAAAACGCACGTTGGAAAGACTCACACATGTGTATAATCGTGTATTATTAATTTTCCAAGTGATTCTGGCGACTTGCCACAGTTGGAGATACCATAACTAATTTCAGTTTCATGAACTTGGCGATGACAAACGGGCGAATGTTGAGTCGAAGGAAAAGTTAAATGTTTTGATGCTGTGGTAACTACACTTGAGTAGTATTGGGCTGATTATCTTTATTCTAATTTATTACGTGGCAGCAACCAAAAATTTCGAGGCAATTCATAACACTTTGTATATGATAATAATTTATGACATGGTGTGGGCAGAGAAAAGTAGATTTCTGCTGGGATGTTGAAAATAGATCTTGCACGATTAATTTTATTTTCTGCGGCAAATAAAAAAGTAATAAATATTAAAAAAACATTATAACAGTGTAAGAATTTGGAATTAATAAGTTTGTTTTATTGCTTAGGCGCACAAAGAATTTGTTTTTTTTTTTTTTTAAATATTTATGTTGTTACAAAATTTCTAAAGCAATAAATTGTGTACCTATAGATTTTTGTTTAGGTCAGATTTCTGATTTTAATAGTTGACATGCCAAAATAAATGAGAGAAGTATTTTTTATTGCTTTTAATTCTGAACTTGGTAGATCATGTTTACAATTTTGCAGAACAGCGGCAGGGGTTCTATTAAAGTTATGTAACTTTTTTAATAGTCAATAGTGGAATCAACTAAATACTAACATATTTTTCACGTTTGAATTTGCCATTAAAATTTAAGGTTTGTGAGATGCTGTTCTCTACAATACCTTTATTTATTTATTACCTCATGGTTGAAGATCGTATTTTACTAGATGATTTTGTGAGACAATAAAAAATTTGATGACGAATTAGTATAATTGATACTGATAATGAACAGCAGTAATGTTATTTTATCGGATATAGGATGTAAATTCAGAAAATTTGAGGGCCATTTGCTGCGTCCAATAAAGCCAGGAAGTTCAACCCAGCTACCAACCACACATGCAGTTCTAAGCTGCAGTTCCTTCTTGCTGGAATACCTACTGTGAATTTCAAAATGAAGGCCACTCCACCGAAAAACGACGTTCTTTAAACTGTTGTTCATTTATTGTTAATTCTTTAATTAAGAAAAACAAGTGATGTTTTTTCATTTATTGTTATCTAGCTCCAAACGATTAGGAACTTGTGTGTACTTTTCGGAAGATCAATCCTCCGTTCTTATTGGCTTAAAAATATTTCTGGCGAATATGCAATCATTACAAAGATTAAAAGATCCTTCAATAACGAAAAGTATTTTCTGTAGTATAGGGATTCATCAACAGATCTATTTTTATTGTCCTATTTAAAGAAGTTCGGCCAATACTCAGCTCCAAAGTTATTTTATGTTGAGGTTGCCTAGGATTACGTCGTATTCTTTCAGGAATAATTTTAATTTTTTTGGATCGAGGTGGTTTTAATAGTTTTGAATGTCGTTACAGATTTTCCACACTTACAAAAACGCAAGCTCATAGAAAAAGAAACTTAAGAAAACAATGGAGCACTGTACTTTTTCAGGCTTTTCATTTACGTGTTCATTCTGTGTGCCGCTGTAATGAATCAGAGAAGGATATTTTCGCTCTTCAATGAAATTTAATCTTGATGCAACAAGGAGATATTCGAATCTATACTTCTATACCTACTTATATTATAAAGCTCAAGTGTTTGTTTAATTGAACGCGCTAATCTCAGAAACTACTGGTTCGAATTAAAAAAATCTTTTTGTGTTGGATAGTCCATTTATCGTACCTACATATAGACTACATAAGATCACGCTTCGATCAATAGGAGCGAATTAGCAATGAAAAATTCCGAAAAACGGGAAAATTATTCCTCCTTTGTCAGCGTCCGTTGCTTACGCTGCTTAAACGGTTAAAGTTACGTAAAAATCATGTATGACGAAATTGTTCCCCTCTAAAAGTTCTAAAGAAAAGTTCGCGACAGCATATGTCTAAGGTCGACTCAGTATAACCTTTTTTATGTTAAAGAAATTTGTTCTAAAATAATAATGCATTATGTATAAAATTCTCGCGTCACAGTGTTTGTAACCGAACTCCTCCGAAATGGGTTGACCCATTTATATGAAATTTTTTATGTATATTCGGTAAGCTAAGTGATAAGGGTGGCCCACCCTAAACAATTTTTGCTTATTTTTTAGACAAAATTTTTTATTTTTATTTTTTTAAGATTTAGCATCAAAAAATACATATAACCCTAAATTTTGAAGAATTTTTTATATTACAGGGATGGTTTATAAATAAAAAAATAGGGAAAACTTAAAAGAACAGCTAAAAAATGAAAAAATTCTAAAAAGTTTGTATGGGAATCGCCACTTCGAATTAATTTCAGTAGTTGGCGTTCCTGACGGACCGGTCGTCTAACTGACGTGTCATACAAAACTATTTCTTCCCTGCGATTGTGAAATAGTTATTTACATATCAAGCGCCGAAAATGAGACTTTGCATCCGAGCGTATTTGTAGCGTGAGAGCGAAGCTCGAACGCCACAAAAGCGCTGCTTTTTATTAAAAAAATATTAAAGAACATTACTATTATCATTAATAAAAAAAAACTAGTGAAATTGTGTTGTAACGAAAATATGTTGCCACTACCTTCTCCGTTACCATAGCAATCAATAACAATTCCGAAAAAATTGTATGAAAACTGAAACTGGTGGCGATGAAATGAATTCGCGGTAAAATGAATGGGTATGTAGAAAAATACGTTGGAAAGCATTGTCGGTGGTGCTCCCTGCGAAATTTCGCACTCGGTATGAAGAGGAGTTGAAGAAATTCACAAAATGATGAGACGATAACAAAATTAAAAATAAACATACTGAGACGACGTTTCTAGCTTATTTTAAAATCAAGTCCGGAACTTTGAAACCCTCTTCAACGCTAAAAACGACATATTGTCTGTAAACCATGACGTACATTTGGACAAATATCCCAAACTCAAAGCATTTCTCAAGCGGCAGAGCGATGGCTACAAGCCGAAAAAATCTGTAATGTTGAGGCCCATGTAGAAACTTTTTTAAAAATAGCCCCTGATGACAAATTTTTATTTATGAAGTTACATATAATATAAATCAAAATAATCGAAATTTAGCTGCTTTTTTTCAGGCTGGTTTAGTTATTACGGGTTCTGAAGCATGCAGAAGGATAGAACTGACAAGTCTTTCCACAGAAAATCTACAGTTTGTAGTCATGGCAGTGAAGCATCCTCATCAAATTGTGTTCCTGAAAATATTGAAATTGCAAATGTGACTCTGGAGGATTCAAAGACTGGTCTTACCATTTCAAATTCAAACTGTCAGAATGTCAAAATAAATTTTCATATTAATAAATAAGTGGTTAATTTTCACAAATGTAAACACCTTATTAGTTTTGTAATAAATGTTTTCTTGATATTTGATAAACAAAGTCATTATTGTCACTGAAAGAACAATATTTGTCCGGAAGGCAGTTTAGTTTGTCCGGTAGGTTAGTTTCTCCTTGTTTCAGAACTTTTATCCACGTTAATGTTTTTTAATAGTAAATAATCGCAGCAGACCAAGGTATCACAAACAACTATTTACCTTGATCCTAAATATAAAATCAGAAATTATTGCAATTGAACATTCCAAAAAGAAATCCCTGATTCCAAACGCATTAGTGTAAAATAAAAACTTCTAACCAGAATAAACTCAGCAGCCGATGTCGGCTGACGTTGAAGCAATACCAACCGAAATCGTGTGAGCAAATTTGCCGTAGCAATATAACTTTAAAACGATTTATCTAAATTTGTACTGAATTTTATAAGTGCAAATACCGCATACATCATTTTGTTCACTTAATAATTAATTCGGCAATATTGGTTTATTTTTTACTGACATTTTTTACTTTCGGCTCTAGATCCTCAAATAGTTATTTAAACATTAATAAGGGAGGTAGGTAATATTTACCAGACGAGAACGTGATTGCGCCCGAGGGGGTACCCCGAGGGCAAGCAATGGAGTCCGAATTGTTTATAACATTTTTCCTACTCCCCAGAAGATAAAATTTTTATGAAGAAAAGTAATTAATTAATTAATTGTGATAGTACAAATACAACTGAAACGTTATTAGTCAGCCTCAGCATACATCTGAAACGTTACTAGGCAGCACATACATGCAGTTATTTATAAATACAAATAAAAGGAAATTTGTCAATTTCAATTAAATTGCTGGATAAAGAAGGTGGTAATAACATTGAATTATCAAAAAATTGTAACATGAAAATGTTACCACAATTTAAATAGCGCGCGCATTTAGAGAGTAGGGGGGTAGGAGCTGGAAGGTTCGAGAAGAGCGTGGCTTTTGGTTTTGAGACGGCGACGAGAGAAGGTCGAGAGAAAAAGACACGGAAGTTTTGGGGTGTTGTTGTTCACGAAGGGGTGAGAAGTTAGTGTCAAGGAGAGGTGTCATCCTGTCATCCTGGTAAGTCTGTCGAACCGCCAACCTGGAGGTAAATTAACAGGGTGCAAGGACTGCTAAAAGCTACAACCAACCGAACTCCTGCCCACCACATTTTTTTGATTTCAAGTCATAGTTTTTTTTTATAGTGTAATTAGTCCATTTAATTTATTTTATATAAATAAAAAGAGCATTGGTGAAGTTGGGTGGTCTCAGTCCCCCCAACCCTCCTTTCCACCATAACGACTGAGTGGCGCCCTATTATTTTTGGTTAGGAAGAGTTTAGCAACGAAGTTGAATCCAAGGTAAGTGCAAACACCACGAGAAGAACCCGCTCTCCGAAAGTAGCACCGGCGTAAAAAGAAGATAAGAGGTTATACAAAAAATGGCGCCGTAACGTGGGGCCAGATGCGGTATTGACAGTGGTAGGTGGATTTACGACTTGGTTCGACTTCGTTACTTGTGGAATTCTATAAGGTCATAGGAGTTTGTTGAGGTATGGTACGGTGGTGTGGCAATTAGCAGCCCAAGTAATGAAATAGGTGGTGACAGACATTTTGTTGATGATATCGTGCGAACATAATTCTAATTACTCTGCATTTTAGACTTTGTCATCCTGACTTTGTCATCCTGACTTTGTTATCCTGACTTTGTACATCTCGAATTTGTATGTCTTGGCTTTGGATGTCTTATAACCATTTCACATTGGTGATATTAATATGGACGACACTTTTAAGGCAAGGTATTTACTAGCAGGTGAGCTCGATTATGAGTTGCGTATAAGGGGAATTGTAACCAAGCGTGGTAGTGATGATAAACGGAGGTTGTTGCAGCGTTCGGTTGATAAAGACATCGGTCGACCACTAGAACTAATTTTGGCGTATAAAGACCCGCAGTTTGATTACGAGCAGGAAGTAGAATCAATTAATAGTACGATTGATAGTATTAAACAGTTGATGCCGGAATTTGAAGGTTCTCCTCAAGATGCTTTATTTAAACGGTTGCGAACGCGAATTGCTCATGCGACTCTTCGGGTTCTTAGAATTAAAATTCCTGACAATCTTTCCGAACACGACGCTAAAGAAATGGTGGAGTTCCGTAACGAATCTCATGCAACGTGTGCGCTACTCGAGGCCGAATTGTATGATAAGGTAGAGACCACCGCATCGCCGCAAGTGTCTTCTCCGGTTGCTCCCGTTATTTTTCCGTCAGTAGTTCCTTCGCTTCCACTAGTTGTCAATACTAAATTAGTACCAATTTACAAGTGGGGGATTTCGTTTAGCGGTGAAGCCCAAGGTGTAGGGGTTAATCAATTTCTTGAACGTGTTGACGAGTTGTGTCAGGCCCGACATGCCACTAAGGATGATTTGTATAACTCAGCAGTTGATTTGTTTAGCGGAAAAGCGTTATTATGGTATCGAGCTGTTAGACATAAATACGTAGATTGGGATTCGTTAGTGAACGCGATCAAGCAAGAATTTCTTCCTAGTGATTGTGACGATATTTTATGGGATGATATTAAAAATAGAATGCAGAGCAAGGGCGAGTCCATATCAATTTACGTAGCAGTGATGGAAACACTTTTCTCGCGCCTTTCGCGTGCTCCGTTAGAAATCACTAAAATCAAAGTAATCCAAAAAAATTTGGGCTTAGCATATTTGAATCATTTAGAGATCGCGGAGGCAAAAACGTTAGATGAATTAATTAGGATCGGTAAGAAAATCGAGCAGATGCTTAGTTTGAGACAAAGATCTAAGGTTCCGTGTCGACAGTCGTGTTTGTTGGAAGCCGAGTTGGCTGGTGTACAAACACAACCTGTTCGGGATACGTTTAAGGAAAAATCCAGTAACGAGAAAATTTCTAATTTTGTGGTCCCGTCGAGGGCAGATGTACAACCTTTCGGTGAGGGTGAAGTAAAACAAGGCAAGGAAGATCCGCGGAAGACCCTATTGATCTGTTGGAATTGCCGACAACCAAATCATAGCTACCGCAATTGTGTGGCCAAGCGCGTGAAATTTTGTTACAAATGTGGTCTGCGGAACGTGACTGTAGCATCTTGTCCAAAATGTCGTTCGGGAAACGAGTAACGGAAACACGATTTTTAGGCCGGTCGTCGTTTCCAAAGTTTCACAAGGTCAACGCTGATCGGAGCAATCGTTTCGGTACTACCTATTCTAAAGTAAAAAGTTTTGTTCAGACTCGCGATGATTGGAACAAATGGGTTAATTTTGTGCGTCAATTTTATAAGAGTAGTATTAGTCCTAAAAAGGGGGAAGTCGCTCCTACATTTTCGAAAAGGGATGGGGATAACAGGCCCTTTATTTCGGTTCAATTGAATGGTAAATTTGTCGAGGGGTTATTAGATACTGGTTCTAATTGCAGTATTATCGGACGTGGTGGTTTAGATTTACTTAAACAACCGCGATATCATATAAATATGGTTCCTTCCAAGCTAAAGGCCGTGATCACCGCAGATGGAAAATCTCACTGTGTTGCAAGCGCAGTGGAACTGGAGATTGGGTTGCAAGGAAGGCGTCATAAAATTTTCTTCTATGTAGTACCTGATTTGATACATAAAATAGTTTTGGGGAGTGATTTTTGCAGACTTTTTGCGTTAAAGTTGGACTTTCGAACATTTTCTTATGAAATTTCAAGTGCGGGTTTAAATAATGGTCGAAAGCAGCCAAAAATATCGCACGTAGGTGCAGTAGAAGCATCAACAGAGTTAAATTCGGATATCGATCAGTTAATATCTACGGATTTTGATGCGGATAGTCGAAAGAAAATAGAAGAAGTAATTGGGGAATTTAAAAAGTTGAATTACACCGATCAACTGAGTCGAGCTACAGTTAGTCCACACCGTATTGACACCGGAAACGCGCCTCCCTTCAAGCAGAGACAGTTTTGGTGGTCTCCGTATACAGGGTTAGTCACGAGAGAATTACTTCTGAAAATTAATTTTACGCAACCCAAAATACGAATACCATGTACCATTTGATACTAACTGAATTTAAAATGAAATGCTTAATCCATGCTTGCTTTGAGTTTGGCAATGTCATTTTGACAATTGTGGAAAAGGAGGTTACGCGAGTGTCCATGGTGGTACCGCAGCCAGTCGGAAATCTCCTCCGGCGCCGCTAATAAATTTGTCAGTGTGCCTCTTGATCTTTTACAACCGATTAATCACGAGAAATTTATTTCTAAAAATTCCTTTTACAGCATTTTATTCAAAGGTTACAACAGAAACTCAAACAAGTAAGTAAATAATTTAACTACTAATCTGTTGAAAATGTTGGGCATTTTGGGGGGATGCTACGGTTTTTTTTGTAAATGGATGGCCGAAGAGGTCCAGAGGTTGCAGATTTGCACTTCGAAGACGCTCTAGGTGACGCAGAGATAGCGAAATAACACATGCACATTAGCGGCGAACAACATTGGTAGAGCACTTACGGCTTCAGTATAGCCCAGATTGATCTGACGGTATGTCGTCGATCCAATGGGGTTCTAGAGGCGAGTCAACGATGAAAAAAAATGTTAAAAATTAATTAACGTCAAAGTGACACTGCCAAAGTCAAAGCAATCATGGATTAGGCATTTCATTTTAAATTTAGATAATATCAAGTGGTACGGGGTATTAGTATTTTGGGTTGCGTAAAAATAATTTTCAGAAGTAATTCTCTCGTGACTAACCCTGTATGTTATCGGAATTGAATCGTGAGATTGATAAAATGTTGAAGCTTAAGGTTATAGAGCCTTCGAATAGTTCATGGTCCTCTCCGATTCTTTTAGTTAAAAAACCTACTGAGGAATTTAGAGTATGTTTTGATGGACGAAAGTTAAATTCGGTTACCGTGCGGGATAATTATCCTTTGCCTTTAGTAGATAGGATATTGAGCATGCTAGGTGACGCGAAATATATCAGTTCGGTAGATTTGAAACAAGCGTTTTGGCAAATACCGTTGGAAGAATCGTCGAAACCAAAAACAGCATTCGCCGTACCAGGGCGTGGTCTTTTCCATTTTACGGTGATGCCTTTCGGGCTCACTAATGCAGCTCAAGCTTTGCAAAGGCTAATGGATGAATTATTCGGTCCAGAACTAGAGCCGCAAGTTTTCGTATACTTAGATGACCTAATTATATTGTCGAAAACGTTTGACGAGCACTTGTCCGTACTACGCGACGTAGCGAGACGTCTGTCGAAGGCGAATCTTTCGATTAACCTAGACAAGTGTAAATTTTTTCGCCCGTCTTTAAAATATCTGGGTTTTATAGTGGATCAGCAAGGGCTCCGTACAAATCCCGAAAAGGTTGAGAGTATGGCCAATTATCCGGTGCCGAAAACGTCTACTGAAATAAAGCGATTTGTAGGAATGTGTTCCTGGTACCGCCGCTTCGTGCCGCATTTTTCGTCGTTGATAGCGCCGTTGAATCGTTTGTTAAAGGGAAAGCGCAAACGTCAAAAAGTCGAGTGGGATGAAGACGCTGACCTCTCTTTCCGTAAGCTTAAAGAAGCGCTCGTATCAGCTCCTGTTTTAGCCAGTCCAAATTTCTCTGAACCTTTCACGATCCATACCGATGCTTCAGATACGGGTTTGGGCGGTTTGCTTACCCAAACCATTGTTTAAGTATATTATAGTTGGACAACCTATACGGACAATCACTTTCCCATGCAGAAAAGAATGAATATATATTTTACATCTCACTCGCTTCACTATGAAGTGGCGGTACCTTACGAAAGGGGGTAAAAATAGTCCGTAAGCACGTGATGTCGATAAGGTAGTAAACGGACGTATTAATCAGTACGTTGTACGGGGAGCAGTCACAAAATAAGCAAACGTACGTGTTGAAGACTTTACATATATGTAATATATGTATATGTAGTGCATACCTGTTTCAAGGTTAAGGTAACAAAAATTTAATATTATCGCGGTATACCTATTATCCATGAACTGCATGGCTAACAAATATGCGTTCCTTCGTCCACTTTAAAGGTACGAAATTAAACGACCACTACTTTAATTAATAAGTAACAAGTCATCTAATCTGCCTCCAGAATAACTATGAGTTATCATCAAACTATGAACACCAAATTAATTCAATATAAACATCTTCTTACGTATTTTTTTTATTAACAGTAGTCAAATCATTAAATACATATTATATTTGAAACTAAAATGCATTTCATCCTAAGATTGTATCACAAAATATTCATCACCATTTAAATATATACGATTTAGACATCAAGAAATAAATTTAAAATTGCAAAAATTATACTAAAACAGCCTTAAATGTGTCTTGTATGTACGTGCTTATCAGTATGTAGGCATTTTAACGCACAGCACTAATCGTTCTTGATGAGTAATGACTGATGACTACTGTACATCCTCGAAATCGAAAATTTAAAACACTGAAAAATTCAAATATGGGAAAATTGTAAAATCGAGAAATCGAAACATAAAAAAATCAAAAAAATAAAAATTGGAAAATCTAAAATTTAAAAATCGAGAAATTGAACAATCGGTTAATTCAAAAATCGAAACATCGAAAAATTGGAAAATCGAAAAATAAAAAAAAATTGGACAATCGAAAATTTAAAAATTCCGAAAATTGAAAAATTGAAATATAGAAGAACTGAAAACTCAAAAAATCGAAAAAAATTAATAATTTCAAAAATTGAAAAGTTAAAATTGAGAAATCGAAAAACTGAAAAATCACAAAATTGAACGAAATATCAAAAAATTCGGAAATTAAAAAATTGAGACACAGAAAAGTCAAAAAAGCAGAGTCTAAAAATCGCAAACTTAAAAAATTGAAAAATTGAAAAATCAAAAACCTGAATAATCGAAAAATTGAAGAAGTGAAGAACTGAAAAATCGAAACTTTAGGAAGTGGAGAAATGGGAATATAAAAAAATAGATTAATTGAGAAATCCGAAAACTAAAAATTCAGAAACGTCAAAATTTGAAAAATAAAAAAACATTGAAGAACTGAAAAATCGAAAAATCTAAAATTTAAAACATTGAAAAGTTAAAATATCCTAAAACTGAAAAATGGAGAAATCCAAACATCAAAAAATCAAAAAAAAAAAATCCAAAATTTAATCATCGGAAAAACTGAAAAATCAACGAATCGAGAAGTCGAGAATTTAAAAAATTGGACAATTGAAAAATCGGATAAATCAAAAATCAAAACATCGAAAAATCGAGAAACCGAAAAGCAAAAAATCGAAAAACCAACAAATTGAAAAATCGAAACATTGTAAAATTCAAAAATTGAGACATCGAGAAATCGAAAAATCAAAAGACAAAAAAATCGAGGAGTCGAAAAATCGAGAAGTCGAAAAATCAAAAAATTGAGAAACCGAAATAGGCCAAAATCGAAAAATTGAAAACTTAAATATGGAAAAATTGATAAAGCGAGAGATTGAATAATTAAAACATCGAAACATCCGAATCTCAATGAATTGAGATTTAAAAAAATTTAAACATTCGGAAATTAAAAAAATTAAAATATAGAACTGGAAACTCGAGAAACCGAAAAATTTAGAAATTTAAAAATTAAAATATGAAAAAGTTGAAAAATTGAGAAATTGAAATAAAAAACAAAAAACTGAAAATCCAAAACTAAAAAATAGAAAAATCTAGAAGTCGAAAAATGAAAAAGAATCGAAGAATCGAAGTATTGAAAAATATCAAAACTGAAAGAAATATCCAAAAATTGAGAAATCGACAAACCAATAAAGCGAAGTCGAAAAATCGAAGAATTGAAGAACTGAAAAATCGAAACTTTGAGAAGTGGGAAAATCAAAAATAGATTAATTGAGAAATCAGAAAACTGAAAATTTAACGCAAAAATTTGAAAAATTGAAAAATTTAAATACTGAAGAACTGAAAAGTCAAAAAATCGAGAAATCGAAAAAACTAAAATTTAAAACAATGAATACGCAAAATTGAAGAATCGAGAAATCCAATTCAATTTGAAAAATTGAAAAATTGAAAAATCGGGGAATTGAAAAATTGGAAAATCCAGAAATTGAAAAGCTCAAAAGAAAAAAATCGAAAAACCGAGAAATCCAAAAATCGAAACATCGAAAAATTCAAAAACTGAGACTTCGAGAAATCGAAAAATCGGAGGATCGAGAAATTGAGGAGTCGGAAGCCGAAAAGGAAAGTTAAAAAAGAAAAATTGAGAAATTGAACAATCAAAACAACGAAACATCTGAATTCGATAAATTGAGAAATTAAAAAATTTAATAATCGAAAAATTTTAAAAAAGAAAAACTGGAAAATCAAAAATTAAAAATCAAAAAATCTAAAAATTGAAAAATTGAAATATCGAAGAACTGAAAACTCGAGATATCGAAAAACCTAGAATTTTAAAAAATGAAATATTAAAACATCGAAAAGTTTAAAAATTGAGAAATCGAAGCATTAAACAGTCGCAGAATTGAAAAATCTAAACTTTACAATAAATTGAAAATCCAAAAAGGAAAAAAGCGAGAAATCAAAAAAAATCCATCAATTCAAAAATCGAAAAGTCGAAAAATTGAAATATTGAAAAATCTCATAACTGAAAGAAATATTCAAAAAATTGATAAATTAAAAAATTGGAAAATTGAGAAATCGAAAATCTAAAAAAGCAAAATTGAAAAATCGTAATCTTAAAAAATCGAAAAATTGAAGAATTGAAAATGTGAAAAGTCGAAACTTTAGGAAATCCAGAAATGGACAAATAAAAAAAATACTTTATAAATCGGCGAACTGAAAATTTAAAAACGTGAAAATTTGAAAAATTGAAAAATCCAAGTATTTAAAAACCGTAAAATTGAAGAGGACAAAAATTGAGAAATCGTACCATTGAAACATCGAAAGATTGAGAAATCGAAAAATAAAAAAAATCTAGAAATAGAAAATTTAAAGAATGGAGGAATCGGAAAAGCCCAAAATTGAAATATTGAAAAATTGAGACATTTAAAGTTGAAAAATCGAGAAATCGACAA